CAGAACCCATAGGGAGAAGCTATTTTTAAACTGCAATTCTTACTAAAAATAGAATTATAAAAATTCCCTTCAATATTCAAAATATACTTACTTTTTAAAAGATAATTTATTTCAAAGAGAATTTTTTTCAAGATTTCCTCCACTATTTACTCTTCATACAAAATTTTAGAGTCCTTTTGTTGAATTTCCCCCAAAATCCTGCTGCTGGAATTTTTATTCAAATTGAATTGAACTAAATAAATTAATAAGGAAGAATGACATCTTTAAATACCAAGTCATTGTATTCATAAACATGGCATAGCTGTCTCATTCAGTTCTTTTAATAGAGTTTTAACATTTTCTTTCTAATATTCATATATTGGTTGATAGATTAATTTCTAGATATTGTGAATAGTGTCTCATTTTCTACCACACGTTCTCATAGGTAATACTGTCAAGGATAGAGTTACTCTATTAAATTTTTTAAGTTGATCTTTTATCTGGGTATCTTGGAGATTCTTCTACTTTTTGCAAGATAAGCAATGCCTATACAGAGATCTGGTGAGAATGTGTCCTACACAGAATCCGGTTTTTTCACAGCAGAATAATCCATCAGAACGCTGTAGTGGCATAGTATTCTCCCAAACTTCATGTCCATCTGGAACTTCAAAATATGACCTTATTTGGAAATAGGCTATTTGCAAAAGTAATTTGTTAAGAGGATACGTAGTGGATAGGGTGAGTCCTAAATCCAATGACTATGTCCTCTCCCATAAGAAAAGGAGAAGACACACACACAAGAACATACAGAGAAGGACATGAGAGAATACAGGCAGAGACTGGAATAGTCATGTATTACATAGTGATATTTTAGTCAATAACGAATGACATGTATAACAGTGGTCTCATAAGAGTCTAATACTATATCTTACTGTACCTTTTCTATGTTTCGATGCGTTTAGATATACACACATTTGCCATTGTGTTAAAATTGCCTACAGTATTCAGTATAGTAACATGCTGTATAGATTTGTAGCCAGAAGCAATAGACTCTACCATAGAGCCTAGGTGTGTAATGGGCTATTCCATCTAAGTTTGTGTATGTACACTCTATGATATTCTTTCGGTGACAAAGTTGCCTAATGGTGTATTTCTCAGAACACATACCTTTCCTTAAGCAGTGCATACTGACTGGAATGCATTTACAAACCACCAGTAATGCCAAGGATTGCCAGGGGCCACCAGAAGCCAGGAAAATGCGAGGAAGGCATCTTCCTCAGAGCATTCAGAGGGAGGAGGATGGCCCTGCTGACACCCTGATTTCAGACTTTTAGCCTTAAGAACTGTGAGAAAATAAATTTTTGTTTTAAGCCACCTAGTCTGTGGTAATGTGTTATGGCAGCCTTGGGAAACCAAAACAAACACAAGTCTGACACAATACTAAAATGCACATATCTGATATGATACATCACATTTTTTTCTATAGACATGATTTTTCTATATGAAAATATCGGTCATTTGATTGGTGAGTTTAATCTATTAGGACTCTATAAGTACTGTTACTTAAGACATTTCTGCCACCTTAATTTTCTCTATTTTTTAGTGTTTCTTCATTTTTTAAAATTTCTCCTTTACTGCTTTCTCCTGAATAGATCAAAGTTACTTCTGCTAGTTGTTAAGTTTGTATTCTGTTTTTCTTCTTCTGGTGGTTATTCCTAATTTATGACTCATACTTAGGATTGTTTTTCTCCATCAGTTTTTCAATGTAATCGATACCGTACCTAGATCTTTTCAAAAGAAACAAATAACAGTACGCTTTTACCTCTCCTGGTCCCCCTCCCTTAATTCTTCATCAGTTTGTTATCTTCTAGGACTTGATACCTAGATTGTTATACTTTCTTCCCTCTGGACATTGCTTATTTAGGTAGCAGATGTTACTAAGTTGCTTACGCTTCTGTAATTCTTATGTCAAGTAGGTTCTCTGGATTTATTCATTATCTTGTCAGAATATTTTCTCCAGCGGTGTTTTCAAAGGACATTAGTATGTTGTATGCCAGAGAGCATCTATTATGCCAGAGTACATCTTTATTTCACCCTCACATTTCAGTGAGACCTCAGCTAGATATATAAGTCTAATTCAAAATTAATTTTTAGTAACTACTTTGAAAATATTATTCTAGAGTTGCTGTTGGAAAGTCAAATATGAATCTGATTCTTGTTCCTTTAGAAAGGAACTTGCTTTTTCTCTCCAGAATTGTTTCCTTTCTTAAGTTTCACTTTAATGTGTCAAAGTGTTGATATTTTCCCCCTTTGTCTCTTTGTTTGATGTACAGTAAGTTTGCTCAATCTTTCCTTAACTGGGAAATTTTGATTAGCTGTGTTCTTCCAATATCTAACTTTATTGTTTTCTTCTAGGGCTCCTATTAATCACACATTAATACTTATTCTATCTTTCATACCCTTTAATTTTTCTCTCATTTTTCCAATTTTTTATTCCTTCCTGGTGCCTTCAGGGACTATTCCAGACCCCACTCCATCTCATCCATTCATTTATCAGCTATATTCATTCAAGCTTGAATTTTTTGTTTCTACTACAACTGATTGGTTAATTTTTTAATAACTCCTTGTCTCTCTTTGCTTCCAGTGCCCTCCCATATGCTCTTGAGACTATTTATTAGGATTATTGTTATCTTGTTTTCTTTGACTCAGCATTTTTGTTCCTTCCAGAATTGGTAGCCCAGTCTGTGATCTTGCCTTCCCAGTGCTTTACATTGATGTTCCACAGATATCTTTTTATTTTTCCCATTCCCCTCAGAGTATCAGCTATAGTTCCTGCATTACATTCTGAGTTCCATCTACAAAGGGAGAGCTAAAAAAAAAAACAGCGTTTATTTCTAAAAATTGTGTATTTATTTTTACATGTCTCAACTTCAGTCACCTTCAAAGTATTCTCCATCTGATGCAACACACCTAACAAGATGCTTTTCCATGACTCAAAGCAGTTTTTTAACTCATCAATTTTGATGCCTTTTAGTGCTTCTGCCGTTTTTTGTTTCACCTCTTCCACATCAGCCAAACATTCCCCTTTGAGGACTTTTATCCTCCAGGAAAACAAACAAACAAAAAATCACTAGGGGTGAGATCCGGTGAATGGGGAGGGTGAGGCATGGGGGGAAGGTCATACTGTTTTTAGTCAAAAACTGCTGAATACTCACCGGTGTGCACAGGTGCATCGTTGTGGCAGAAGAAGCAGTCACTTGTTTGCCACAACTTGGGATTTTTCTTCCACAAATTGTGACACAACCGTCTCAAAATTTCTAGATAAAATAACTTTGGTTTACTGCTTGATACAGAGGAATAAATTGTGAGTGTACTATAAGAGACCCACCCTCTAAAAGTTTTTTAGGGGTTTTCCCTTGTATATCCCACTTGCTTCTGAGGCACCTCCAGAATAAGATTCAAAGGAAGAAACCCTAATTGCTTTACGTTCCTGATCTTGAATCTTGACTTTTCTACAGCACCGACTACACTTAATATCCTCAAAGTTTAGCCCAGTTTGGCTTGGCTATCTTTTCATGTTCAGTAGGATTAAACCATGTCATAGAACCACTAAACATCTTCCATTAGTTTATGGAGTTATCATTTTCTAGCTGTAGGGAAAGATAGTAATGGTCATGTATGGCAAATAACTATGAAAAATTTAATTATTTCCAAAATTTCTTAGAACCATTATACTTTAGTATAGTGATTCTTATTTTCCCTCCTTTCATAGACCTCTTAATAAGTGTGGCTTGTATGATATGATTTTTTCATTCAGAAATTATTAAAATTTTGTTTTGAAAATGTCTTAGCTGAACTTTAACTGACCCACCTCCATGCCCCCAAGATAACTAGAAAAGTCTCTTGGGTTTTACAAGACTAGTTTGGATATTGCTGATCTAAAAATACAATAGAAATTTCTTTGGCATATTCAGTGAAATTATTTCTGGCCTGTCTATATGTTCTTGCTATATCAATATTTCATCTTATCATACTCCTTTACAGATGTATAACATTTTCTTTCCATTTAACATCCACTTATTCAACAAATATTTGTTGAACACTTGCCATACTATTGTTCTAGCTACTAGGTGCCCAGCAAAAAAGGCACAATATCAGCCTTCACGGAACTTTTGAGTCTTAGAAAGAATGTAGATTAAATACAGGTTCTATCTATATTCAGGGAGCAAGGAGGAGTTCTATGTTTTTTACAGTGTTTCCAAGGTACCTAGAATTGTGTAAATATTAGTTGAATGTTAAATGAGTAAATATTTAACACTAATTACAAGTGTGCTGAATGTTATGAAGAGAAAGTACAGGTGTTGTGCAGCATATAATGGGAGCCCTAACATGCTCTAGGAGATGGTGAAGAATTCATTCTCCAGAAAAAGAACCAACAACTGATAAAACCATCCTTTTGGAAGGGTATATACAGATTCAGCTAAACATTCAGTGGCCAGGCACAGTGACTCACACCTGTAATCCAGCACTTTGGGAGGCCGAGGTAAGAGGATTACCTGAGCCCAGGGTTTCAAGACCACCCTGGGCAACTTGGTGAGACCTTTTCTCTACAATAAATCAAAAAAAAAAAAAAACATTTGCCAGCCATGGTGGCAAGCACCTTTTTCCAGCTACTTGGAAGGCTGAGGCAGAAGAATAGCCTGAGCCCAGAAGGTTGAGTCTGCTATAGCCACAATCAGGCAACTGCACTCTAGCCTGGGCGAAAGAGTGAGACTCTGACTCAAAACAGAACGAAACAAACAGTACTTGGTTCCCATTCAGGTCCTCCTGTTGTGTATGGGAACTTGAATCACCTTGGAAGTTTTAGTATTGATTTCCATAAATGTGAGAAGTTAGTTGAATTGCTTAATAATAGCATATGTTTACAGAAATAAAAGAAAAATCACAGATTAACATTGCAATTTATACTTCTCATTTCTTCCCTGCCCTCTCCCTGCCCCATTTTCTTTTCTGATTTGCAGATGAAGGAGCTTCCATGCACCCTTGTGATGATACATACTGTGGCCCTTTCCCAGAATCTGAGCCAGAAGTGAAGGCTGTAGCTAACTTCCTCCGAAAACACAGAAAACACATTAAGGCTTATCTCTCCTTCCATGCATATGCTCAGATGTTGCTATATCCCTATTCTTATAAATACGCAACAATTCCCAATTTTAGCTGTGTGGTAAGTATTTGACCCTGTGCATGTGTGTTAGGCCTCATGCTTCTTTTCTGAAGTTAAGATGGTTCTAATGATAATGGCAAACACATATTGGGCCTGTTCTGATTAAGTATCCCTCACATATTAACTCATTTATTCTTCATAACAATCTTTTGGGGTAACTTTTATTATCCCCACTTTACAGATGAAGAGCCCAGAGAGATTAAGTAATTACACTAAAAACACACAGCTACTGTCATAGCCAGGATTCAACTCTAAGTCTAGCTCCAGAGTTGTTGCTTTTAACCATTGTGCTGCTTCTCAAATGTAATTATAAATCTATTTACATTCTTACCACAGGTTATACAGAAAAGGTCAGGATGGATTTGATTAGTATTACAGCCTTGGTCACATATGCAGGGCTGTAATTAACTTTATTGAGTAAATAATTGTTCATAAATTATAGTCTGGCTCTCATTAATTAAAAGCAAGTTTTAATTTATAAGTGCTATTTGCTTAATGGTACTAAATTTCTGGGCATGTAGCTGACAAGTTAGTAGTGAAAATGGACAGACTTTCAAACATAATTTGGCTTAAAAATGAAAAAACAGTTTCTCTCTCTTCTTATATCAGAACCCCACTGCAGGGCCCAATTCATCATGAAGTGAGACATTCCAGAGCCTGTAGCATCTAAAGACATAAAGTTCAAAACCGAGAAAAGCTAATTCATAGGAGTCAGATTGGCAATTATGTTTGGGGAGAAGAGAGGGAGCACAGTGATTAAGAGGAGATACAAGGAGGTTCCTGAGTTGCTGCTATATTCTATTCCTTGGCCTGAATGGTGGTTACATACAAATGTGTTCAATTTGTGATCATTTGTTGGGCTATAAACTCAAATTTTGTATATTCTTTTAGGTGTGTTTGAATGTTTTTTTTTTTTTTAACCTACTGACACCAAATGTGTGATATTTTGTTCAACACCAACTTGTGTCCAACAATTCAATTCCATTCTGACAGGGACTACCCAGAATTAGCAACAGACTTCACAGGTTTAAGAACTCATTCCTACAAGACTACCCTCACTTCAGAGACTGGTCACAAGTAGAGGGTTGCCAGCTTACTCACACTTTTGTCCAACTTGACTACAGAGTTTTGTAGATTTCCACAACCCCCACCTCAGTTTCAATAATTCAATAGAATAACTCACAGAGCTCAGGAAAGTGAAAACACAGAACTCAGGAACAGCCAAATGGAAGAGATGCATAAGGCAAGGTATGGAGGGAGGGGTGCAGAGCTTCCATGCCTTCTCCAGGTGCATCAACCTTCCAGCACATCCAGTATTCATCAACCCAGAAACTCTCCAAACCTCTTTGTTTAGGGATCTTAATGGAGATTTCATTGCAGAGGCATAATTGATTAAATCATTGGCCATTGGAGTTTGAATTCAGTCTCTACCTACTCTCTCCTTCTCAAAAGGGTTGGGGATGGGGTTAAAAGTCACAAGATTTGGTATTTCTGGCACTAGCTCTCATGCTGAAACTCTCTAGGGGCTTCCAGCCATCAGTCATCTCATTCACATACAAAGACATTCTTAACATTCTGGAGACTCCATGGGTTTTTAGGAGGTATGTACCAGGAACCAGGGACAAAGACCAAATATTTATTTTTTATTATACTATGATGTTATACTTGAATAAACAATTTTTTAACTCCAAATTCTGCACCAATCTCTTGGAGTTTTAACAATTTTTGAGCTATATGTCTAAGACCTGGAAGGAATGGAATACATGAGAAAGCCAGTAGATGGCCTGGGGAAGGCTTTTATTCTGTCCCAAAGGGTACCTTTGTTCTTGGCATTCCAAAAATTCTGAGCAAATTCCTGCTCTTTAGAAATATCATATAGGAGATAGCTATTCCTATAGTCCTATTCTTCAGTTGCTCAATAGACTTTTTTTTTTTTTTTGAGACAGTGTCTCACTCTGTCATTCAGACTGGAGTGCAGTGGCATGATCATGCCTCACCACAACCACGACATCCTCAGCTCAAGCAATCCTCCTGTCTCAGCCTCCCAAGTAGCTGGGACTGCAGCTGTGTACCACCATGCCCATCCAAATATCCATAGACTTTCTTGTTGTTTTTGTGGTTGCTGCTATTGTAGCTGTTGTTTTTGTTGACCTGGTACCCTAACAACTTATATCACAGTATTTCTAAAGGCAAATGTTCAGCCCTTTTTTACATGGGCACAGTGTCTATTTATATTCTTACAACAGATGATGTGGAATGTGCAATATATAAAAATTATTACATAAGAATAGTCTTCATATTTTAAATTTATCTTCTTACCTTGAGTTAAGTCTTTTTTCTTTCTTTCTTTCTTTCTTTTTTGTCTTGGATTGGAGTATATTGCATAAGAATAGATCAGTGGTCCAAAACAAAGGATGAATTTGCCTCCTAATGGGCATTTGGCAATGTCTGGAGACATTTTTGATTGTCACAACAAGTGTGGGGGAGTGCTACTGGCACCTAGTGGGTAGAGATCAAGGAGGTGGCTAAAATCCTACAATGCAGGAACAGCTCCCATAGCAAAGAATTTTTCAGTCTAAAATGTCAACAGTGGCCAGGCACATTGGCTCACATCTGTAATCCCAGCACTTTGGGAGGCTGAGGAGGATTGCTTGAGCCCAGGAGTTTAAGACAAGCCTAGGCAACATAGTGAGATTTTGTCTCCACAAGAAATCAAGAAACTAGCTAGGTATGGTGGCACATGCCTGTAGGCCCAGTCACTTAAGAGACGGGGGTGGAAGGATCACCTGAGCCCAGGAGGTCGAGGCTGCAGTGAGCTGTGATTGTGCTACTGCACTCCAGTCTGAGCAACAGAGAGAGACTTTATCTCTACAATAAAATAAAATAAAATGTCAATAGTGCCATTGTTGAAAAATCCTGGAGTGACTTAAGCATATAAACCAGATTGTTAAAACTAATTCTCAAAAGCTAGGCAGTGTTTAAATGTTAATCAAGCATTATTAAATTGTATTCAGATTGCTCAAAAACATTCCATCAATATGTGGGAGTCTGTTTCTACTACTTTTTTAAAAAGTAATTCATTAAAAGTAATTCATTAAGTTGCTGTAATGATAGAAATATTTAAATAAAAAATATATGCCTTATTTAGCTGAAGACAAGTGAGGTTTATGTCCTTTGGGACAATTGAAAAGAAGAAACAATGGAGAAGGGAAAAATAACTTAAGTAAACTCTTTCAAAAATAGGTGGTATAACTGTGACATCCTGGAAAATAATTATTGGAAATAGATGATAAAGTTTTTACCTTTTGCAGATAGATCATCTCTAAACCCCTTAGCAACACATACCTGTACCCAAATGGCATAAGTGCAGTGAGCTCAAAAAGCTAAAACTGTACACATGCTTTGTGTAAATAGGCAAAGTGGTTATCTTTTATTTTTTCTTAGATTTTTTTCCTTGGGTTTAGTTACTTGAAATAAGAAGGAATAAATATCTCCTCACCAATAGACTATAATAATCTTCTAAATGTAGAATTATCTGCCCTTGCCATGGAATACTGCTGAGACTATTGGGGAAGATGTTAAAATCTTAGAACATTCTTCATAAAGATATTTCATTATGGTGTTTACATTCCTTTTCTGCTGGCTCCTGTGAGAAGAATGTCATCATCAGTGAGATCAATAATAAACAGCCTGCCAGTTTCTGGAGCCTAGTCCCTGAATATCTACAAAGGGTAGTATTTGCTGCAAACGCTGCCTTATGCATCCCTGACCTGAATGAGGACAGCAACCTGCAGCTCAGTCCAGCACACACCACCATATTGTCCAGAGTACTTCAATTAAAGTACTAAATTATTCATAGGCAAATTGAAATAGGAGAGTTGCATACTGGTTTCAACATACTTCTTTTCCTCTCATTTGTCATGCAATACTTCTCCAACTCCTTGTTGAAACTGGTGCTTTTATACCATTTTAAAAGATAGTGAGTAATATTCTAGGTCCTGCAGAAAATCCACCTTTTCGTATTTTGATTGTGTTGAGTATTTTTCCTAATCTGGGGTATTGGTAGGAAGAATTCTGCCTTAGAATTGCTGCATTTCAGCAGTACTGTACCTAATTAAGCTCTGTGGGAGGTGTATGTAACCTTAGAAGTCATGAAGCATTCTGAAACCGTTGTGCCTGTTCCCAGTATCAACAAACACACAACATAGGAGAAGTCATTCTTACTCAATTAGAGTTTCTTCATTGATCCAGATGTGTGCTAAATATTTTATACATACCTACTGAAATATATACTTAAGAATCAATATAGTTCTCTTAATACTCTATCAAATTTATGCTTATTTACCATTCATATAAGAAATATTTTTCCAGCAACTGTTATATATAAGCACATTGCTAAGTATGAGCTATGAGTAAGACTGGACCCTGCCCAGACAAATACTTTGTAATTTATAGCAACAGGTATCCCCAAACTAAAGTGAAGAGGACAGAACACTAAATCCACCTCAGAAAATGTGGGTACATGTCTCAGCTCAACCACTCTTTACAGTATAACATACCCATTTAACCTCACTGAGCCTTCCTTTTCTCATCTGTAAAATGGAAATATAACTGATCACTGGCTTTTTGTAAGACAAATGAATTGATGACTTCTAAAGCATGTTACAAAATGTAGCATGTGACATGAGTAATATTATTATTAAATATAGCATGCCAATGTTTTTAAAAGCCTCAGTGCAACAATATATAAAATTTCTCCATTTTCCCTCACAGGAATCTGCAGCCTATAAAGCCGTGAATGCTCTTCGGTCAGTATATGGGGTACAATATAGATATGGACCTGCCTCTACCACGTTGTGTAAGTTTCCTGTGTGCATTATGTTAGAATCATCCGTCTTGAACCAATTTCCTGTATTTTGACTTCCTTTTTAAAAAGAGAAAGTGTGTTCTACCTAAAGTGAAATTTTGACTATCAAATTAGCTGAGGAAGATGGAGGGAGTTTATGTCTGATGAGTTTTATACAGCTTGACAGAAAATCACTGTACCCATTTAAAAAAATTCTAAGCAGAGAATATGCTAAGTGTGCAGTAATGACTACAAGTTGAATTGAGATCTTCTGGTAGTAGAATATACCAAAATGGGATCCTTAAGCAATTATAACTACTGTAAGGTTGGAAATTGGCCTTGGGAAGATAATGAAGTAAAAGCCTCCGCCCTACCACAACTTTCCTTTTATTCCTTTCCTCCACCATTCTTGTTATGAAATGCTATTTCTTATGTAGCACCTTCAGCTGAATTTTCCCTTAAAAGGTCATTTAACAGTACTTCTTCTTTTATATGAAGAAGAAAGTAACTCGATATAGGGAAAAGACTTGGACAAAGAATCACAAGATGTGGATTCTAGTCCTAATTCTGCCATGTATGACATCCTGGCCAAGATATTTAGTAATTCTGGAAAAATCATGTATATATGAATGTCTATGTCTGAAGCAAGCACACATGTGTTGTCAATGTAGATAGATGTATAAGTAGTGGCATCTGACTATGCTTCTCAGTAAGGTAGCCAATTTCTCCTTGATTTTTTTAATCTATCTATCATTATATTCTTAATGTCTTACCACTCACTTTCTTCAACCTTCAGAACAAAAGCTTGGTTTGTCAATTAACATTGCTTTCAAATAAATTTTCCTAATAATGAGAATGTCACAATATCAGTAGATTTATTTATTTATTTAGAGACAGGTCCCCACTCTGTCACCCAGGCTGGGGTGCAGGGGCACAATCCTGGCCCACTGGAGTCTCGACCTCCTGGGCTCAAGTGATCATCCCAAGGAGCTGGGACTACAGGTGCAAGCCACCATCTCTAGCTAATTTTTTTTTTTTTAATGTGGAGACAAGAGCTCATTATGTTGCCCAGACCGGTCTTGAACTCCTAGGCTCAAGCAATTCTCCTGCCTCAGATTCCCTAAATGCTGGGATTATAGGAGTAAGCTATTGCAACTGGCCAATAGATATTTTTTCCAAAGTTCATAATAATTGTTCCCATGTTGAATTTTGAGAAATGTTTTTCAATAGCTACCTTAAAAGGGGAAAATAGTATTTTAAAAAATCACATTACCAATTAATGTCAACATAATATATATAAACAGTTTTAAAACATTGATTTTTTTAAAACTTACGAATATCTTTTCAGCTTCATATGAAGGTACAGTATAGTATTATATTTACTGAGAACAAACTGTTACCATAGAAATGAGGCTGTCACATCACCATGATGTAACTGTTGGCACATATTGTCTGTAACTTGGCTACTATGACTACTATTTGTAGTTCCAGTGTATTCTAACTAGAGGGACACTGCAGCCACAGCCTATTTTCTGTCACTAACCGAAGTAAAGGGAATCTGAGAAACAGCAGTGTCATTTAATTGTCATCTTCACAAAATTACTCTACCTCTATCTAAACAATGGTATTATTTGAGTAAATGAACATGCTCTGGAAATTTAATAATAACAATAATAGGGTTATATCAAGCTGGATCATATAAATTTCAGGAAAAACATATATAAAGATGTTTTTCTGTGAAGCATTTATTCACTTAATACATGATTATTAAGAGTTTGTTAGAGCAAATATATACTTTGGCATATAAAGATGCAAAATAAAAACAGCTAATATATCCTGAGCACTTTTAAGTGATTTATTATTTCATTTTATTTTTACAACAACCCCATGTAACAGGTACTATATTATCATTATCTCCTTTTACAAAAAAAGACACTAAGGCACAGATAATTCACCCAGTAGGTGGTGAGATCAGATATAGCCCAGGCCAGCAGTCTGCCTCTAGTGCCCTGCTTTCAACTCTGTGTTGAAAAACTGGAGAGCGTGAGGTCACAGGAGCCAGAGGAAAGAGTGGTCAGAAGGACTTATCAGCTATGTTAAACACTATTGAGAGGTTAAAAGTGAGATCTAAGGAGGAAAAAAGACAAAAAGGAGACTGGGCCTGCGGTCGTCAGTGAACAAAGTTTGACAGACAGGTAGAGGCAAGAGCCAGACTGAAAGAAGATAAGGCTGTGAAAGCAGCATATATAGATTATCTTTTGAGTACAAAAGCAAAAGAAAGAAGAGGAAAAGGACAGTAATCAAGTTTATATGGCAGGATCACAACAATGAAGTGCTATAGCAGAGGAGTCCTTGGGTACTTTGGGCAATGCACATGAAAGAAAATGGAGATTAAATCATGAAACAAGGTTCTGGGGAAGGAGCTCTCTCACTACCAGAGGACAGCAACCAGTGGTATCAAGGGGATGTCAGCAGAGGGCAATCTTCTGGAGTACAGGCACAGTAGTAAAGTGAGGGGCAGGATGAGAAGACATTGGGAAAGGTTCATTAAGTAAAGGACTAGAATAAAGGAGCCTAGAGCAGCATGAGGGTAGAAAAATACTTAAGGGATTAAATAGTGTAGCTCTATAGGATACCTATTCAGCCAAGACTTTTCTAGCTTCCTCTTCTAATGAAAGTAGAGAAACTGGGCCAGGGATTGAGAATGAGCCAAACAAAGGCAGGAAAATGAAGGGATGAGACATTTGATGAGAACTTCAAAGAAATAATTGACCATGCCCAAGTAGAAAGTCAAATGAAACTACAAGAGGAATCTGGAAGCTACAAATCTAAGTAAAGGCAAAGGTAAAGTACAGCAGGAGTGGAAACACAGGGAGGTGGAAGAAATAAGGAGGTTTTCTGATAATGCAATTTCTATATCTAGACCTTGGAAATGGAGAAAAAAGGAGTGATAACTAAAAACAACAAAAAAGTCCACAGTGTAGATTGTTTATCAATGAATAAAGTAAGGATGAAGATAAACATTATTGAAATTGAGGTTGAGAAATTTTGAGGTCATTACACTGGCAAAGCATTAATACGTAGACTAGATCCTCAGAAATGATAACAACTATGATTCATAAGTTCCATGAGCCAGATGCCAAGCAAGTCCTGTTAAATCATTCTTATTGAAACAGTATTTAATTGGAAGGTTCACTATAGCTTAATAAGCAAGTACTATACAGTATATACATTTAGAAAATGATACAGATTCTTCATGAGACTGATCTCTTCCCCCCCCCCACCCCTTTTTAACTTTTAGATGTGAGTTCTGGTAGTTCGATGGATTGGGCCTACAAAAATGGAATATCCTACACATTTGCTTTTGAACTACGGGACACCGGGCATTTTGGATTTTTACTCCCAGAAATACTCATCAAACCCACCTGTACAGAAACCATGCTGGCTGTGAAGAACATCACAATGCACCTGCTAAAGAAGTGTCCCTAAGAGAGCCCAAGGGTTATATCAACTGCCAGAGAGAGAGCCAGTTCTGAGCAAGGGTCACTTGGTGTTGAGTGGAAATTGTTTTTAAAGGGGAGGGCAACTGCTTAGGGTAAACATATCTATAGCCTTTAAAAAGATCTCATGCAATTCAACAGAAAACAGGAAAAATCAGGGCATAGCCTAGTTTGTTACAAGAGAAAGCATCCATTTATATCCATTTAGAATCTTTTTTTTTTATCAACATTTTTTATTATGCTATTGTGGGGTACAGTTAAGGGTTAGGTATACAAATATGCTTCGTTCAGGCACCCTTGTTGATAAGAGGTGTCTGCTCCATTCACTTAGAATCTTATTTGATTACAGGGAGAAGGAATGTTTTCAAGTTTCTTTGTGTCAAGAAATGTACAAATTTTAATTGAATATTTCCCTTTAATAAGCTCCACATTCTCAGTTAATCTAGTCTAGTCGTGATGTTTAGTTATTTAGCTTTGATTGGAAATGGAAATTTGTAAAATGAAAATAATTAACTATATTTCTTAACATAATAAACATACAATTTATCAAGGCCTTAGATTATTCACATCCGTATTCGCTGGTATTACTGTGCCCATATGCCTATAAAAATATAGCAATATAACAACTTATACTTGGACTCTGAGAAAGTCATTTTTTAATGAGTAAACACTAACTGAGATGCCAGACACGGAATTAGGAACTTTACATTAATAATCTCACGTATATACTTACCTGGCAGGGGAGATACCATGATCACGAAGGTGGTTTTCCCAGGGCGAGGCTTATCCATTGCACTCCGGATGTGCTGACCCCTGCGATTTCCCCAAATGTGGGAAACTTGACTGCATAATTTGTGGTAGTGGGGGACTGCGTTCGCGCTCTCCCCTTAAAAATTAAAAAATAAAAGAAAAAAAACCTCACGTATTCTCCACAATACTATGAGGAAGATATTACATTATCCTCATTTTTCAAATGAAGAAATTGAGGCTCAGAAACATATCATAAACTTTATTATAAGACTACAATAATCAAAACATCCTGGTATTGGTACAAGAACAGGCAGATAGACCAGCGGAACAGGACAGAGATTCTGGAAGCAAAACCTCAATCTCTCGACCAACTCATCTTCAACAAATCCTCCTCTAACCACCACTGGGAAGAAGAGAACTTATTCAGTAAATGGTGCTGGGAAAACTGGCTGAACACATGCTGAAGATTAAAACAAGACCCCTACCTATCACCATACACAAAAATCAACTCTAAATGGATCAAAGACCTAAATGTAAAACCTCAAACTATAAGAACCTTAGAAAATGCAGGAGACACCTTTATGGAAATTGGAACTGGCATCCAATTCCTGATCAAAACTCCAAATGCCCATGCCATAAGAGATAAGACAGACAAGTGGGACCTCATCAAACTAACGAGCTACTGCAAATCAAAAGAAACCATCAAGAGAACAGGGAGACAGCCCACAGAATGGGAAAAAAATATTTGCCAACTGTATATCTGACAAAGGTCTAACATCTAGGATCTACAAGTAACTCAAATGTGCTAAAACGAAAAAAACAAGACAGCCCTATTAAAAGGTGGACAACAAATATGAATAGACACTTCTCAAAAGAAGACATATAAGCAGCCAATAGATACATGAAAAAATGCTCAGCCTCACTAATCATCAAAGAAATGCAAATTAAAACCACACTGAGATACCACCTAACTCCAGTTAGGATGGTCATCATCAATAACTCAAAAAACAACAGATGCTGGTGAGCATGCGGGGAAAAGGGAACACTTCTACACTGTTTGTGGGAGTGTAAACTTGTATAACCTCTGTAGAAAACAGTGTGGCAATTCCTAAAAGATCTAAAAGTTGACCTTCCATATGACCCAGCAATCCCCCTTCTGGGAATATACCCAGAAGAACTCAAATCATTCTATTAAAAAGACACCTACACGCGCATGTTTATTGCAGCATTGTTCCCAATAGCAAAAACACGGAACCAACAGTGTTGGCTATCAAAAGAGGACTGGATAAAAATGCGATACATATACACAATGGAATATCACACAGCCATAAAGGACAAAATTATGAACTTCACAGTAATTTGGATGGATTTAGAGTCTATAATACTGAGTGATCTATCACAGAAACAAAGAACTGAGTACCACATATTTTCATACATAAGTGGACAGACCCTGAGCAATTATCATAATATTATAAGAAAGGGATTGGCAGTAGTGTGAAACTGCCAGGGGAGGGAGGGACACGCTTCATCAATAAGGGTACCTGATCTCAAACCAAGTGAAGTGGGGACCAAAGGGAGACCCAAACTTTACCCACACAATGACCACTTGTATACCTAATCCTAAATTGTACCCTACATCTTTAAAATAAAAATTACATTTAAAAAAATAAACATATTATAGACTTCCAGTTTCAGGACAATGGTAGGTATCTGGACTACTGGAAATAACTTAAACTTCCAGAGAAAATATAATTTTTTAAATAATCAAACAAGAAAGTAGAGAAATTTCGGGCCAGGCATTGAATAAAGACAGAAACCTAGAAAGATAAGTGTTACACTGCTATCTTGAGAGTACTTGTCAAACCAGCTGAGTGTAGACTCTGATTTTCATAGCATACGAGAAATAGGGCCAGAGAACAAAGCCCAGGGCTAGTTCTAGTTCGGAAATCCAATAGATTCTCCTCCTACCAGAATTCTGGGATTCCAAAGCACTATGCCTTCAATGTAAGGGTAAATTAGAAATCAATCTCTACACTATTTCTAATGGATCACAAGGAAAATTGGACATTTCAAATTCTGACAAGAGTAGAGAGGACATGAGTAGTATCTAGATACTACTCTCATATTTAATTGGTAAAATAGGATTATGGTATAGTATATTACTTAACTATAAATTATACTTATATAGTCAAAATAACATTATCTCTAAATATTGATTTTACTGAAAATTATTGATATAAATATATCAGAAGGAGAGGAAGAATTGAAATGTATGTAAGAATAAGGGGTATAAGAGATCTAAATTCCCATCTTCCATAGAAGAACCATAAGGCAGCCCTCATACAGGTTTGTGGTCCAAAATCGGACTACCTAAATGGTCTGATAAACCACTAGCCGAGAATAATTCAGATCAATCCCGAACTGGTAATACTCCCCAAGCATTTGATAGAAGCAAATCCAAATCCTCTTAGAGGATGTATTTGTCTTGCCAAGGCATATCATGAACACCAGGATAAAGATACAAGCCTAAACACTTTCAGAAGGGGGGAAAACCCCACAGACAATGGAATGAGGACTAGCGTATCATGAAACCTTTCAATAGCACCATTCCAGCTTAAAGACAATGGAGAAATGCTTTCAGAGTTTTGAGGTAAAATTATACAAAAATTCTCACCCAGCAAAATTACCAATTAAATATGAGAGTAGTATCTAGACATTTTCAGAAAAGTAAGGTCCTAAATTATTTACCTTTATCAGAAACTCCTGGAGGATGTACTCTCCCAAAATGAGGGAGTATACCAAGAGAAGACAAAGGATCTGGGAGCACAGGGAAATCAATATAGGAGGCAGACACAGAAATAAATCTCACATGATGGTGAAGGGGAAAGTTCCAAGTAATAGTTATATGTCAAACTTACAGAACAATTAACTTGGAGAAGGAAGAGGAGAACTGAAGACTTCAGATAAAATTCTCCAAGATAAATAAAAAACAGATAGATAGAACACTTAAACATGTTCAGAGACAATTTTGACCCACATTAGAGAACTTGAGCATGAATTAGTAATAAAAGCACAGAAAACCAGGCGAACCAAAAAAATTTGTCAACTAGTAAAAACAATGAGTTATACAAGATAACAAATAGGATTATGGTATAGTATATTACTTAGCTATAAACAATACTTATATAGTCAAAATAACATCCCTAAATATTGATTTTACTGAAAATTATTGATATAAATATATCAGAAGGACAGGAAGAATTGAAATGTATGTAAGAAGAAGGGGTATGAGAGATCTAAATCCTCATCTTCCATAGGAGAAAGTCAATGGACAATCTCTAAGACTGAAAAAATCAAAAAATATACATATATGTGTGTGTGTGTTATCTTGAAATAAGAAAGTAAATACTAGAGGAAATAACTTTAAAAAGACTAAAAATTATTGGACTAATGAGAAAGAATAAGTCAGAAGTAATTAGTAATTAGTAAGGAGGAATGATGCAGAAGACTTGTTTTTAATAAAAGCCTTATCATATTATTTGACTAGTTTTATGTTTTTAATTATTAAATATACATACCAAAGAGTATATTCCTTTTAAAGGAAAGCAAATTTTAAAAAACAAACTCCCAACTGTTTACCACCCAGTCTTTTTGATGTTTGTAAAAAAAAAAATACTGTTTTTATTAAAAAATACCTAAATTTAGAAGATATATTGAGTGATATTATATGTGGATTACCTAGCACAGAAACTAGAATGTTGTAACAATCATTAAATATTAGTTTTGTCTATGTTTTACCAATCTATCTTTTTATTTTGCAGTCCCAGTCATATATCTGCAGAAATAGATAGGTCGGGTATGTTTGAGGCTCGGTCCTGCTAAGGAATAGTACACTTAGGAATTTAAACTTCTATTCATTCCATCGAACAAACACTCAGAAATAATCTGGAGGTGGGGAACTGTATTATACTAGTCATTTTTACCAGTAGTATAGACAAAAGCCAAAGTGTCCTGAACAATCAGAAGAGCTGGAGAATTATGAAGATCTCCAAGAAAAGAAAGGAACTGCTTCTCAAAGGGCCTGACAAGTGCACACCAATCAGCTGTTAGTCAGTGATTCATGAACCCTTGAAGCCAGGAAATTTTGCCCTCTGATTGGAAGCATGCCGCCATAGTCCCTGCTGTTAGCTGCTAATGTCCAGATCCTTTGCTGATATCTATCCACCAAATATCATAGCT